AGGGTCTAAGGACAGAGGGTGTCGTATTGTCATATTGATATTCTGTACAAACTGTGAAGTCCACTGAGACAAATGTAACATTTGTGATATTGGGTTATATAAATAAACATTGATTGAAAAAAAATAAAAATGAAATTGTTCATTATTGTTTCGAAATATATCAGATGCATCAATCAACAACAACTCACATTTCTACAGGTGCACAGAGATTTTCAGCTCACTGCAGAGACCTTTTAACTTCAGTAAGGGTTTTCAGCTTTTTTTCCACAATAAAAGCTCATTTACCTCTCATTCATTATTCAGTGGCTTCATTGTTTACACTTCCTCCAGACTGTCAGGTGAATTGTAAATAATGCAGAGTATTGTTTAACTTACTGAAGTACTTTTAAACAAATACAAATGTTGCCCTCCAGAAAAAGCCAACATGTTGAGATTTAGCACTACACAGATTAGTGAGAATGGTCAAAAAAATGAATGATAAGACTTTTGTGTAAAGTATGATGGCAAATGTATTTGTTATTGTTTCTTACAACTATAGTCTTTAGTGGCTACGTTTAACAGTTTACAACTTCTTTTTTTCACATGTAGTTTGATTTTAGCCAAACAGTAATACAAAAAGGAATGATGCTCTCTGAAAACTACAAAGTAATGATATACTCTATCAACATACTGTAGAACATTTATGTGAGCAAGAACAGCACAAACCACTTTTTCAATCGTAAAATCAAATCAAATCAAGTTTTATTTATATAGCACATTTATAAACGATTTTTGGTCGAGCCAAAGTGCTGTACATATAATAAAAATAGCCTACAGTAGAGACACTTTACAGCTAATACAATAGCACAGATTGTTCAGAATATCAGTATGAGAAAAAAACGACACCCTCTATCCTTAGACACAGACCTTTAAGATGCAATGCAGTTTAATGATTGTATGGGACACTTAATAAGCAATACATTAATTAGGTCAAGACAAAACAATATCCTAGCCTTAAAAGGAGACTGGAGTGAAATATCCAGTTAACAGTGTTTCTGGCACTTCACTGAAACAGAGTTAGCAGGAAGTCCAGGATTTCCAGTAAAAACTTCTGCATCCGAATCTGCGAGTTGTCTTGCCCAGTCCACGTCGATTCTTCTTCTGTCTCTCGATGTCTGTGGGTCCTTTGAGGATATTTCCATTTTCAACTTTGAAAAGTTTATAAAGCCAGTCTATTAAATTCAGTTCCTTTGGAGATTCCTTAAAAGAAAAAATAATGACACAGTATAAGAGGATTTCAAACATTTACAAGCTCTTAAATGTTGTTAAATATGAAACTTTATAATTTGCTGCTCATAGCCAGACAGGGAAATACAACTTGTGTTAGTATTTGATCTCTAATCTGCATTTTCATGGAGTTGCAGCTTTGAGGATAATCAAATGACAGTTATCTGGCAGGTAGCTCTGACAGCATACACAATGACTCACTGGGGATACACATACAATTTTAACAGATCAAGGTGAATGAAAAGTTGTGCGCACAAGTACAAAAAAACGTAATAGATTGAGACGCTGTAGGCAGGATATTCTGATGCCTGCAGTCAGTATCTGGTACTTGGGGCCTGGTTTCCACCACATAAGGGAAGGATGGTATACTTGTGATGTGATAAGCATCAACAACATACTGTATAGAAATATTAAAGAAAATAAAGGCTTCTTACCTGTTTGTCTTCTAATTTGTTGAGCCATAGTGGTGAGTCTTTCTGAAGTTGGAGGTCTTTAAGTCGCTGCTGAATCTCCGTATTTTCTGCACCACATGATACAAAACACAGAAGTGCCAAAATGCACAAGATTTGCGCCATCCTCACTGGATATGTGTGTCTTGTTGAGAGATTTCTTCTTGGTAAGACACCTCAACATCCACTGCTGATGCCACTGGGAGACATCTGCTTTTAAAGTGTTACCTATGCCCAAAAAGGGAGGAGTGTGCAGGTTATTTGCGTTAGGAACATCCTCTATTACATGTTTTGCCCCATCAATGCACTGAAGCGTGATATGTAATTTACAGCAGTCATTAAAAGTGAGACCCCATTCGGGTTTTTTCTGGTGTCATCATTACATAAACACTCTGATTGAAGCTTACTGGTGCTGTCATTGGCGTGACACGCAAATGTGAAAGATCCACTCTGCCTCCGTGTTAAAAGCAATTCCCTGTAAGCCAAGTGAAATGTGCACTCATCTACAATAAAACATTAATGACGATGACATGTAGGAAACAATGATTTCATTAACCCCACTGTGCCATAAAAGTTGAATCTACGGGCAGCTCAGAGACACTGGAATGTCCATAGTCCATAAAGGTCAATTCATCATTTGTTACACCCTTGTGAGTTTGTTCTGTTCATCCTTCTAATGAGATTTCTGCTCTGTTTCACTTAACAGTTCCTGTGCTTCCGAATTAAGACACATTTGTCACAGTCTATAATGATTTTGTAATGGCACATGCTGTAAATTTGCAACCGCATTACTTGGACTGAAGTAACCCCATTAAAATCATCCTGTTTAATATATGTCTCAGGCAAAAGCCAGTGGTTTGAGTTAGTATGTTGTTATCAGGTCAATGAGACGGCAACAATGGTTCAAATTACTTTCTAAAATTGTCATTTCAGTTTGAAGCAAAAGGGGAATACTTATCTTAAATGTGGTATTACTAATATAAACTGGATTTGCTGCAGTGAATATATAATTGTAATATTTTCTTCCTCATTGAATAATAAGCCGGTCCTTGTTCCATATCTCCTTCTATTACCAGCAAGTGTTAATAATTTAAAAAAAGTATACAATTACATCAGGGCTATCTCACGTAACAAATAGCGTTAGATAAAGGCTCTCACTGAAGGTTCAGTTTAAACACCCATATACTCAGGCTTACTCTTACATTATTACAACTGAGTGACTGTAAGTGATGGGTTTCAACAGCTGTTCCTTAAGGATTTTGAGTCTATGGATATAAAAAAATATTTGTAACCACTGTGGGTGTAACAATATCTCTGTAGTTTGCATGGAGTTTACCTGCAGTAATATAATCATTAAATTAAGTTTTAAAAGCTTGCAAAAATGTAGACATTGCACTGCAATATACATCAAATGCACCCTATAGGACTCATCATTGCACACTGTATAGCCTACCTAACTGGATGGTCCTCACTTAGAATGCATAGGATGCAGCATTGGTTTTCATTATTGTATAAAGCCATTTTAGGTAAGCTTCCACTGTATATATGTGCCAGATTTGCTCCAGTTTGTGACTCTCACAACCTCAGATCCAGTGCCTGGATACGGTTCCAGGTACCTGCTGTGCGGACTGAGGCTGGGAAAAGGAGTCTTTTTTATTATGGTCCTTGGTCTTGGAATGACCTTCAATCAAGCCTCAAACTGATGGCAATTGTCCATATAGCCTGTTTTAAATTGAAGTTGTCTGAGGTCCTTACCACCAGCTGCTCTTGCAGTAATAAGTAGTGTACCTTTCTTACTGTCCTAATGTGCACAATGTAGTGACTGCTTTTCGTCTTTTGTTTTCTTAGTTGTGTTCTCTGTATTTTATATGTCTGTGTTATGTGTAAGAACGTGTAGCGTTGCTGCCTTCTTGGCCAGGTCAGCATTGTAAAAGAGATTTTATCTCAATGTTGAATACAAAAGATAATTAGTAATTATGGATTGACATTTGACATGTAACAAACATATTTTAACAAGGGAACCTACATTTCTGTTATATAATGTATAGTATAACATTAAAAAAAATGCAGTCTGATTTTGCCTTGAAGCTAATGTGTAAAAACATGAACAGATGTGTTCTTCTTCATGTAAGGCACATGTGTGGAGGAAACTGAAAGGACATGTCCTTCTCATATAGGAGACAACCTTGAAGCGCATCAACCTTTCAACAAATCGCCATTTTAACCCAATTACAGAGGTGTAGAAGCCTGATATAGCCACCTAAACAATTAGTAAGTGCACTGTTGGGAGCAGAATAATCCTTTTAAGAAGGCTACCGAGAGCACTTTACAGCAGAGTGTTTCTATCCATGCTGACAACTGTCTCCATGTCACACTTATTTCATGTGTGGCTTGTTGTAATATCAGGACTTTTTTAGATGTTTTGGAACATCACTTTTAATGAGTTGAGAAAATGCCCCAAAAATGTCAAAAACGAATGATATAATCAGTGTGATGCTTCAGCACAGGCGTTACATTCCCAAAAAGGGTTCAGCTCCTCGTGTTAGCTGCCTCCCTTGCATAAGCGTATGAGGCTGCTTGTTATTTCTGACTCTGAGCAATCGATACGTTGGAAGATCTGCTTGCCAAAAAGCAACAGTATTTTAAAACCAGTGTTATTAAAGGGCGTTGTACTTTTTTGCATCTCGTTATATGGAGCGTTTGGATGTATTGATCCCAGTGACAGATATGGATGAGTGAGATTGAATGACTGTTCCTAAGGGACCTATTGCTCTGCTGATACATTTTAGAGTAAATAGTGCAGAGAAATTAGATGTTTGCTGGCTATTCTGGACAGAAGATTAGCTTCCTTATTGCAAACAGCCTGTTTCAAAGTAATGGCTCCATGTGGAATCAACAGGAGGATTAACATCCCATTAAAATAATCATTATTTTGTTTCTTTTGTATTTTTATTTCAATATATTTTCAACTTCAATTGACAATTTAAAATGCGAAAGATTTAATGTAAAATAAATAAATCCCCGAAGACACACCGACTGCCTCCCGACAGTTAATTTAGAAGTGGATTGGAGAAAGTTGCAGGCAGTGTGAGTCATAAAGTTTAATCTTTTCCATGCACCATTTCACTTGCTAAACAAATCAAATAAATGCTTTTAGAGTTAGGCCACAAATGACTCAATATGTGGGTTTGAAAACAAGACAACGCAACATTTCCAAAGCGATTTACAACATACGACTTACATACTCAATACTGTGGACAATCCCCACAGGAGCAATTTGGGGTAAGTGTCTTGCCCAGGGACACAACGACATGCTGACTGCAATGGGGTTTGAACCTGTTCTATCCACTGCGCCACACGTCTCCGATGTCATCATACGTTTTACGTACAGTATAGACAGGTCAATCATTTCTCAGTCATTCTAGGCTTGTCTCGGACGCAGATGGTGACTATTCATTATGTCACTGAGAAGTCAAAACAAGCATTTAAAGTAAAACTGAATATTTCGGTGAGAATAAACACACATAAAAGATGAATTAGTGCTGCTCTGCTACTAGTATTACTAATACATTAACAACAAGTTATAACTTAATCACTGCTATTACAAGCTGCTCTTATGTTTATCAAAGGAATAATTATAAACAGGTGGAAAAACAGTTTCTACAAGGTATCATGACACGCAATAATTCTAATATACACTACTTTAGAGATGATAAAACACTCATCTTTAAAAATTATTTGAAATTTGCTTAAGATTGGTGTTTAATTCAGAATCATAAACAGAGATGTGTTACTTGAAAAGTAAGATAGCGAATGTTAATTGTCCCCACGTTTGTCATCTGTTGGTTGCCATGGTTTCCTACAGACTCGACAACGGCTGATGACACTTTGTAGAGACGGTCCCTTCACTGTTTGAGGAACAGGTTTACTGTAGGAGAGAGCAAAGCACAAACACATTACAGCTGTATAATGGCTCGATTCAAAGTGGTAATACGGTTCAAACATATCCTTTTGAAGTATGATAACATTTTGATTCTGAAACAGCATTGTGGTAATCATAGGACACGCAAAACAAACTAAACAATGCTAATTAATTCCTCTACAATTAGCAGCTGTTTATGTACATTTAACACACCCAACCATGTGAGTGATGATTTAAACTGCAGATAAAAAAGGCATCCCCCATGGCATGCGTCCCCAAAAGCTTACCTGAACATGCTGTTTGGGTCTATTGAGGCCAGCCAGTAGCTATAGGAGTCAGGGTAGTAGTTACACGTTCCCCTGCCGTGACACTCTATGAAGGGAACTTGGCGGAAACTTTCCAGACACGAGCCAGGAGAAACCAGCGGCTGGGAGGAGCCATCTGCTCCTGCTCCCGTTTGCTAGAATGGATGAAGGAAATATCAAGACATATGTAATGAAAGGAAACACCTGAGAAAATCAAGGGACTAAAAATACAAAATATGCCCTTTTACCATGACAAATGAGTATCCTGTCCATAGTGACTCCCAGTCTCTGGGACATTCGGGTATCAGAATTGTCTGGCTGTGGACGGCTATGACATTGGATGTGCTTTCACACACTGAGCACCTAAAACACACATGCATACAAACATTGATATTAAAACAAGTGTTATCAAGTGATTTATAAAAAATGAATATTCCATTTAGCAGAAAATGTACAAGATGTTGTATTTTCAATTTTGTAAGACACAGTAATGGAACAATAGACAGGAGGTATTTCTGACAATATTTGGACCCCACATGAATACTATATAAAATAGCTAACAATGCTGCAGCTGGCATTGTTATTATATGTAGATATTATGATCAAGTTTGCATGTGATAGTAATATTAAAGGTAATGCCAATACTTACCATTTGTTTATTTATTTTATTATTTTTGTTCTTTGTGTTGTTTTATTAGTTTATTGTTCTTATTGTTTTATCTTCTCTTAATGACGTCTTTGTAAGAGAATAAACAGTATTAGAAGAGTCTGTGAATATGCTCCTGTGCCACCTGCTGATATAGGAGGCCAGTCTATCCCCTGTGATGGAAACCATGTTGGCGGGCAAAGCAGCGTCAGTGGACAGCCAGTAGGAGTAGTCGTTACGAGAAGCATAGCGGCAAGTTGATTCGGTGTCACAGAACAGGAAGGGCATGGTGGAGAAACGAGGTAGACAGCTTCCTGTGGTGCCTGAGAGACGGAGTCAGACAATGACTAACTTAGACACATATTTAATTACTGCTGCAAATGATTTATATTAATAAAGTTCTCCATGCTCTTACCAAGGTCCTGACCATGAGCTCTCTCATTTCCGTTGATGAAGAGGAAAGAGTAACCAGAATAGATGAAGGTAGTGCCATAAGGGCAGTCCGGGATGCTGGTGTTCTGGCTGTGTTTGGCAATCAGAAAACTGTCAAAATAACTTGGACCCCCTACGCCTGGCAGCCCTTGAGGACCCTTGTTGCCTGGGAAACCAGGTCTGCCTTCTTGACCTGCAGAGAAAAACCCATTATTAATACCAAAAAATAACAACTGTGTTTTTAACTGACATCATGCGAGTGGTTTTGTTTGGCTAGAGTGTTGTGCTACAATCTGCTTCACTGCTTATTCTCACTGTTGGACAAAACAGTATTTTTTAACATGGAATTCATATTGATCAAAATGCAGAGAATGCCTATTTTTAATCATAACATATCATCTGGTGTAAACACACATACATTCTTTTTTAATCCACACACACACACACACACACACACACACACACACACACACACACACACACACACACACACACACACACACACACACACACACACACACACACACACACACACACACACACACACACACACACACACACACACACACACACACACACACACACACACACACACACACACACACACACACACACACACACACACACACACACACACACAAACACCTGGAAGTCCTGAGCTTCCTCTGTCCCCTTTGTGGCCAGTAAATCCGGGCTGGCCGCCTGGGCTGGGGCCGCGCTGTCCTTTGACGCCCTGCTGACCTGGAACGGAAGGATTCAGAGTCACGTGGGGTACAAAAAAAGGGAAAAAAAGTGCTGAATATATAGTTTTAACAAGCAAGAAATAAATATTCTATACATGTGACGTTTGAGTTTCAATCTATTCGTTTTGGACACTTTTTCTGTAAGATGTTCTAGAAACATAAACCATTCATGACTTTATCAGTATACAAGCATACACAAGACAATAAAATAATATATGTAGCAAATATATAAAATAAAGCTAGTATTGAACAATGTCTACCTTCATTTAATGCATAGGAAATATCATGGTATTAAACTGGGGGGAAACATGGTGCATTATCCTTGGCAAAGTACCAAATCTTAAAATCAATACATAGAAGCAGCTAAGGTTACAATAGAGGTTTCTCAATACTCAAATTTCCCCTACTCGACTCCTCGGTCCTCCGGTAGTGACCCGGAAATGAATTTCAGTGCGCCATTTTGAAGGACATTTCATTTCTCTAAATGCACTTCGAGGACCGAGCATCGAGCATCGAGGAGGCTCTCTGGAGGAGCTCTAACCGAGGAGACACTGGCCGTTTCACAATCGCGAGGATACTGACTTCCAAGCCAATATTTCAAGGATGCTACGTCATCGAGTGCCGCCGAAGGACTGTTCCAATCTCTAGCATACTTGGAATTCCACCGAGGCCGCGTCCTTGGTTTGGGGGAAATTTCGAGGCTGCACATGGGTAGACTTCGCGTCCTTAAAATCCCCACAATGCTTTGCGCATGGACCAATTTCAAAAACCCTTGCGGAGAATGGCTGAACCGACGCAGCACACATTTAAATGTAAGTATGTAGTGGCGTAGAACATGTAAATATGTTACTTTGTTACATTTGTTTGTTATCACCAAAAATGTGTTCCGTGAAAGTAAAGCAAGTTCATAATTAGATAGACATCGTGAGGTATTTATTTTCGGTACAGTTTATGTTGAAACCGTTAGAGAGAGTGGCACACTTGTTAGCCTGTTCCATTCTTCTTCGTTTTCCGAAGCTGTGGCTTGGAAGCATACTTGCTTCGTTTCTGAAGGAAGTGACTTGGAAGTACGCGACTACCAAGCCAGCATCCTCGAGATTGAGAAACGGCCACTGATGGCCGGGGCCCTTTCTCATTTCTCTAACTCCCCTCCTCGACTCCCCTCCTCGACTCCTATCCTCGATACTTAGTCCCGCCCACAGGAGATGCGAGCGGAGGAGCCGAGGAGGGGAACCGAGGAGAGAGGAGGGGAAGCAGCAGGCGGTTAGAGAAATGAGAACTCCTCTCCTCTGAGCGGTCATTTTAAAGAGACGTCCATTAAGACAGGAGGCACAGCAGCCCTCTGTCTGATGGACAGATGTGTTCATGACGACTTATATATTTACTTTTAATTCATTCACAGTGCGGTATAATGAGACAATAACAGGCTACAGATGCGGACACACACACACACACACACACACTCACACACACAGCACACACACACACACACACACACACACACACACACACACACACACACACACACACACCACACACACACACACACACACACACACACACACACACACACACACACACACATATATATATATTTATATATACAATTTCAGAATCAAACAGAGCACTCTCATAATAACGTAACACTATCAGAGACTGGATATATCCCCCCCTCTCTGGTCGCTACAATGAGGAAAATAAATTACGGGCCAAAAGTTTTATTTACAAGTATTAAAAGTAAGCAGAGGACACCAAACCAACTGAGACCTGTCTGTCCGCTGCATCTACGCACACACTGTACCACACACACCTACACCACACACACACACACACACACACACACACACACACACACACACACACACACACACACACACACACACACACACACACACACATACACACACACACACACACACACACACACACACACACACACACACACACACACACACACACAC